GTGTCTGTTGGCCATTTGGATGTCTTCTTTGGAAAAATGTCTGTTCATGTCATCTGCCCACTTCTTGATTGGATTATTTGTTCTTTGGGCGTTGAGTTTGATAAGTTCTTTATAGATTTTGGATACTAGCCCTTTATCTGATATGTCATTTGCAAATATTTTCTCCCATTCTGTCAGTTGTCTTTTGGTTTTGTGGACTGTTTCTTTTGCTGTGCAAGAGCTTTTGATCTTGATGAAATCCCAAGAGTTCATTTTTGCCCTTGCTTCCCTTGCCTTTGGTGATGTTTCTAGGAAGAAGTTGCTGCGGCTGAGGTTGAAGAGGTTGCTGCCTGCGTTCAGGATTTTGATGGACTCCTGTCTCACGTTTAGGTCTTTCAACCATTTGGAGTCTACTTTTGTGTGTGGTGTAAGGAAATGGTCCAGTTTCACTCTTCTGCATGTGGCTGTCCAATTTTCCCAACACCATTTGTTGAAGAAACTGTCTTTTCTCCATTGGACATTCTTTCCTGCTTTGTCAAAGTTGACCATAGAGTTGAGGGTCCATTTCTGGGCTCTCGATTCTGTTCCATTGATCTACGTGTCTGTTTTTGTGCCAGTACCATCCTGTCTTGACGATGACAGCTTTGTAATAGAGCTGGAAGTCCGGAATTGTGATGCTGCCGGCTTTGCTTTTCTTTTTCAACATTCCTCTGGCTATGTGGGGTCTTTTCTGGTTCCATACAAATTTTAGGATGATTTGTTCCATTTCTTTGAAAAAAGTGGATGGTATTTTGATGGGGATTGCATTGAATGTGTAGATTGCTCTAGTAGCATTGACATCTTCACAATGTTTGTTCTTCCAGTCCATGAGCATGGAACGGTTTTCCATTTCTTTGTATCTTCCTCAATTTCTTTCATGAGTATTTTATAGTTTTCTGAGTACAGATTTTTTGCCTCTTTGGTTAGATTTATTCCTAGGTATCTTATGGTTTTGGGTGCAATTGTTTTTCTTTTTTCTCATTAAACTTTTGTTTTAATGGGCCTCAAAATTCTGTGACAGATTTTTGGTCAAGTTGTTTCCATTAAAAAGTACTGATTTTAAAAACTAATAACTTAAAACTGCCACACACACACACACACACACACACACAAAACATGGTTCACAAAACATTCTCCTTTCCTTCTGAAGGTTTTACGATGCATTGTTATCATTAACCAGTCTTTTACTATTAAACTTAAATGGCCAATTGACACAAACAGTTCTGAGACCGTTCTTCCACCACTGATTAAGACTGGGGTGGCAGGTATTGGGGATAATATTCATTTAGCCTTCTGAGCTTTCTGGGCAGACTTGGTGACCTTGCCAGCTCCAGCTGCCTTCTTGTCCACTGCTTTGATGACACCCACAGCAACTGTCTCATGTCACGAACAGCAAAACGGCCCAGAGGAGGATAGTCAGAGAAGCTCTCAACACACATAGGCTTGCCAGGAACCATATCAACAATGGCAGCATCACCAGATTTCAAGAACTTGGGACCATCTTCCAGCTTTTTTCCAGATCGACGATCTATTTTCTCCTTCAGCTCAGCAAACTTGCAAGCAATGTGAGCCGTGTGACAATCCAGCACAGGTGCATATCCAGCACTGATTTGGCCTGGATGGTTCAGGATAATCACCTGAGCCGTGAATCCAGCTGCTTCCATTGGTGGGTCATTTTTGCTGTCACCAGCCACATTGCCATGATGAACATCTTTGACAGATACGTTCTTGACATTGAAGCCCACATTGTCCCCAGGAAGAGCCTCACTCAAAGCTTCATGGTATATTTCCACAGACTTTACTTCAGTTGTAACATTGACTGGAGCAAAGGTGACCACCATCCCAGGTTTAAGAACACCAGTCTCGACTCGGCCCACAGGGACAGTACCAATACCACCAATTTTGTAGACGTCCTGGAGAGGCAGACGCAAGGGCTTGTCAGTTGGATGAGTTGGTGGCAGGATGCAATCCAGAGCTTCAAGCAGTGTGGTTCCACTGGCATTCCCATCTTTACGGGTGACTTTCCATCCCTTGAACCAAGGCATGTTAGCATTTGGCTCCAGCATGTTGTCACCGTTCCAACCAGAAATTGGCACAAATGCTACTGTGTCGGGGTTGTAGCCAATTTTCTTAATGTAGGTGCTGACTTCCTTAACGATTTCCTTGTATCTCTTCTGGCTGTAGGGTGGCTCAGTGGAATCCATCTTGTTAACACCAACAATTAGTTGTTTTACACCCAGTGTGTAAGCCAGAAGGGCATGCTCACGGGTCTGCCCATTCTTGGAGATACCGGCTTCAAATTCACCAACACCAGCAGCAACAATCAGGACAGCACAGTCAGCCTGAGATGTGCCTGTAATCATGTTTTTGATAAAGTCTCTGTGTCCTGGGGCATCAATGATGGTCACGTAATACTTGCTGGTCTCGAATTTCCACAGGGAGATATCAATGGTGATACCACGTTCACATTCAGCTTTCAGTTTATCCAAGACCCAGGCATACTTGAAGGAGCCCTTCCCCATCTCAGCAGCCTCCTTCTCAAATTCTTCGATAGTTCTTTTGTCGATCCCACCACATTTGTAGATCAGATGACCAGTAGTGGTAGACTTGCCCGAATCTACATGTTCAATGACGATGATGTTGATGTGAATCTTTTCCTTTCCCATTTTGGTTTAGGTTGAGCAGTGGTTTTCACGACGCCTGTGTTCTGGCAGCAAACCCGTTGCGAAAAAGTTGGGTGCAATTGTAAATGGGATTGACTCCTTAATTTCTCTCTCTTCTATCTTGTATAACTCATTTAATCTTGAAAAGAGCCTATGAGGTTGGCACTATTATTATCATAATTACCATTTTATAGATGAGGAAATTTAGGTGCAGACTGGGATCAGGGGAGGGTGGATGAGAGGTGAGACAACGGACTGGTGGACACAGAAAGAGGAGAGACTTTGCAAAGCACACCTTTCAGTGCCTTTCTCATGTGAATGTATCACCTGTCATTACAAAGAATGAGGGGCGCCTGGGGCCTCAGTCAGTTAAGTGTCTGACTCTTGTTTAGCTCAGGTCATGATCGCAGGGTCGTGAGATTGAGCCCTGTGTTGGGCTCCATGCTCAGCGGGGTGGAAGTCTGCTTGAGATTCTCTCTGCCTCTCCCTCTGCCCATCCCCCTGCACTCTCTCTTTCTCTCTAAAATAAATAAATAAATCTTAAGAAAAAAAAAGATGAAAAGGATGTGTCTGTTATGGACATCACTGTGTTATACTTATCCAGAGGTATCCATTTGTGGATGTGGAGTGATGGAAGCAACAAGGGACCAGGAAGCAGAACATCTGGGCCTTGAATCTACTCTATCATTAATGTGTCCTTTCTGGGACTTGGTATCAACTTTTGCAGAAAAAAAGGGCTTGGGGGTGATGGTCATGGTGGCATTAAATTATATCAGTGTTTCCTAATCTATTTGAGAATTTGAGTCATCATCTGGGAAACTTTAAAATACATAGTTTCTTAAGCTCCCATGAACACATATTCTGATTTAACAGGACTGAGGTACAGGTTGGGGTGTTCTGCATTTTTCAAAAGCCCCTGCCTTAGGCAATTCTGATGCAAAATCAGGGTTAGAGACCCTGGACCCCATGGTCTCTTTCTCCCATTTCTACATTTCCACACCCCTTGAAGTACTGAGCATCCTATCGGATCCAATCAACCCATCATCTGCCCCCACCCTTCCCAGTCCATCCAGCCCGTCTTAGAGGCTGCCTTACCTCCAGGCCCATCTAAAAAGAAAATGCAAATTAAAACAGAAGGGCTGTGTCTCCTGATTCAGATCTCCACTCCCACTGCCACCTTCCATACCCACCTCCCGCTCCACCCCCTTCTCTGGGTGCTGCCTTCCAAAAGCTGAGCCCTAGTCTTCAGGGTTGCCATTACCATCCCAAGAGTATGACAAGGTACCAAACCCAACATGGGGATAGGAATTTTGACCTGTTTCAGAATTTACACATGGACCTGAATCCTCTGTGGATTCTTGCCTCTTTCCAAAAGCATTTTTTCTCCCTGGAATGGTACTCTGTGAGTCTCCTATCCTGATCCCTCATTCTGCCAGATGGTCTGTAAAGTTGGAACTCTTAAAAAAAAAAGTGCACAACATTCCCATTTTCATGTGATGTTTTGAATATTCAATTATCTTTCTTCCTTCCTTTCTCTCCTCTTCCCCTCCTTCCCCTCACCCCCCCCACCATCTCCTTCCATCGAAGAAAGGGTTCTGAACACTGGTGTTCCCGCCCACTTAGAGAGGAGTGTGTGTTCAGTTCACCAGGAGGTCCAGGGAGAACGTGGCTCCCACCTCTTGCAGTTTTATGATGAGTCTCTTTCCTTTTCACAAGGCAGTTATTAATCATGACTGATGCTCACTGACCAAGCCCAAACAATCGTGTGGCACACTCCACATACCACACACAGTCACAAATTCTTGCCTTGCTCACGTGGGCCGGCATGAGGATGCCATTGCCACCTGGGAGGAGCCGCAGGAGGCACGGGACATCCAGCTTTTACCATTCTGATTTTCCAGGATGAGCATTAGTGATGAAAGGGGTGGGCTGCCCACTTGCCGCCAGAGGAGATGCACAAGGACAGCGCCCATTCCAGAGCCAGAGTCCATGGCTCTCTCCAACCTGGGCTAATGATGGCTGGCCCGTGTTTGGCCATGATGACAGGTCTTTCCGAAGATGTATTTTTACCCTCTGGACAAATAGCAGTTGGGCCGAGTGGGGCTTTTTTATGAGTTGAGGTACTCAGAGCTGGAAAATAAACAGGCAGCTAATGAAACGTTCTTATGGAAACTGGCATAAATAATAACAAAGGAAACATCCTGCCCCCTGTGCCAACACCCTCCGCGGAGGGGCTATAAAAGCTGCTGGCCACCGGCCACCCTCAGACGTGGGGAACTCCGGCCGCGCTGCTCACCTGCCACCTGACCCGCCGGGACCATGGGGTGCTGCCCAGGGGACTGCTTCACCTGCTGCCCTCAAGACCAAGACTGCTGTGAAGTGTGCTGCTGCCAGCCCGCCTGCTGCGGCTGCTGCGGCTCCTGCTGTGGCTCCTGCTGTGGCTGCGGGGGCTCCGGCTGCGGGGGCTCCGGCTGTGGGGGCGGCTGCTGCGGGAGCGGCTGCTGCGGGAGCAGCTGCTGTGGGAGCGGCTGCGGCTCCGGCTGTGGGGGCTGTGGGAGCGGCTGCTGCGGTTCCAGCTGCTGCGGCTCGTCCGGCTGCTGCGGCCCCGTCTGCTGCCAGCCTACGCCTGTTTGCGAGACGAAGTGAAGCCCTCTGCCCCCTCCAAGGAGGTGGCCCAAGCAAAGCGTCCACCTGCTGCAGGTGGAAAGACTCCTTGTCTCCAGGACCTTCCTGGCTCCCAAGACAGCGTCCTGCCTCCGTGTTATTTGTAGGTGAGGGCTTGTTCTCCAACACCTGCCCTGGGGTTTCAAGGCCCTGAGAATAAGAGCCAGATGCTGGTGAGAAATGGAAACTGGGTCCCGTCCAGAGTGATCCCTGAAGCTCACAGGGTGAATCCCCATGGCTTTATTTTCATGGACTTAAATGTCTTGTCACTGTGAGGCGTCCTCTTAACTCAAGGTGGCTTTGGAACTGACCCGCCTCCTCAGCTTTCTGCTGCTTTTGAGTGCAAAAATTTCTCTTTGTTAACTTCTTAATAAATTCGAGCTTGCTGGCATAACCAAATTAGTTCTCCCGCCTCTTCTTTGGCTCCCTCTTGGGCACTGGGCCGGGAAAATTTACTCTGGCGTCCACAACTGGGTTTTTGAAATGTGGTTTGTGGACCAGAATCCCCTTGCATCAGAAATGTCTGGGGGCTAGTTAAAATGGAGATTCTGGAGCCCTCCCCGACACAGGCAGAGTTAGAATCCACAGGGGTGTGGCCTGGCAATCTGTGTTTTGAATGAGAACCCCAGATGTAGACTAAAGCTTCCATGTGCTGCATGAGATTCACTTGGGGAGGTTTTAAAAACACGGATTCGTAGGCTTCACCATTAGAGATCTTATCCATTAGCTCCAGGGTGGCGGCCTTGGGACCTGCATTTTTAAAATGCAGTAAATGGTAAATGCTGAGGCTGGCCAAGGTTTAATCTTGAGCATGGGGTACGGTTTCCTTCAGCAGTATAGTTCCCCTAGAATGGTTCTGCAGGAGGACTCCAGGTTTGGTCAGAACTTTCTGGCAAAGTCAGGAAGAGGCTTTGGTAAAACAAGCTTGATTTGGAACAGAAGAGATTCATGTGGCAGAACTTTGTGAACACAGTGCCTATGGATGTTCTGGGAATTCCAGTTCTTTCTTCTAGCCAAATGCTTTGACAAAGTCTCCCTCTTCTGGGTCAGGTTTTCTTGTCCTGAAACCAGCTGTATTTCTTCTGCTTGAGTCCCAGGGATGAGAGGGGAGAATGTCCATCTGCTAGGTGGGGCCTCAGCCAGGTGTGTGTGAGTCCAGCTGGAAGGCCAAAATTCAGAAGATAGTTGATTCAACTCTTTGCTGAACATGATCTTAAGCTACATGTGGAATAAAATTTATTTTGCTCTTGCCTTAGGAGAACAATAGTTATTTTTTATTCCTGCAAAGCAATGTTTCAGTCAACAAACAAGCAAAAATATATGTTTTGATTATAAACATGGCAATGATCTCTGAAAATATGAAAAAATACAGAAAAAAATGAAGAAGGAATAATAGCCACCTGATTTCTCAACTTCAACTTCAGCATTTATTACTGACAGAGATGTTTCCAGACTCCTTTCTAAGCACATTTACAAATAAAACCGGGATTACACTATTTTTATGTTTTTGCCTTTAAAAAAATTGTTCTTTAAAATTTATTTTTATTTTTTATTATGTTCAATTAGCCAGCATATAGTACATCATTAATTTTTGATGTAGTGTTCAATGATTCATTAGTTGCATATAACACCCAGTGCTCATCACCACACGTGCCCTCCTTAATACCCATCACCCTGTTACCCTATCCTCTCACACCCCTCCCTCTGTAACCCTCAGTTTGGTTCCCGGAGTTCAGAGTCTCTCATGGTTTGTCTCCCTCTCTGATTTCTTCCCATTCAGTTTTCCTTTCCTTCCCCTGTGGTCCTCCATGCTATACCCCAAAGATACAGACGTAGTGAAAAGAAGGGGCACATGCACCCCAATGTTCATAGCAGCAACGTCCACAATAGCCAAACTGTGCAAGGAGCCGAGATGCCCTTCAACAGACAAATGAATAAAGAAGATGTGGTTCATATATACAATGGAATATTACTCAGCCATCAGAAAAGATGGATACCCACTATTTGCATCGACATGGATGGAACTGGAGGGGATTATGCAAAGTGAAAATTTGTTTTTTATAAACCAACTTCATTAAGGTATACTTTATATATAATAAAGTACATACAGTTGTAATGTACAGTTTGATGAGATTTGACAATTGTATATACTTAAATCACCACCACAGCATTCAAGATACAGAACTTGCCATCATCCCTCAAATTCTCTAGTGCCCCATTTGCAGGCAATCCTCCCCACCCCTGATCCCAGCCTCAGGCAACCATCAGTTTTTATGTCACTATACATTTTGCCATTTCTAGAATCTCCTGTAAATGAAATCATGCAGTGTGAACTCTTCTCCACTTAGAATAACATCATTTATATTCATCCTTGTTTCAGGTATCAATAGTTCATTCTTTTTTGTTAAATAATATTACATTGTATGAATAAAGTGCATGAAAAAATATTCATCTACTGTTGGGAATTTGGGTTGTCTCCAGTTTTTGGCTATTATGAAGAAAGTTGCTATGAGCATTTATGTATAAGTTTCTGTGTGGACATATGTTTTCATTTATTTTGGATAAATACCTAGGTATTGGATTGCTGGATAAATAGTATGGGAATGTTCACTTTATAAAAAACTACCCAACTGTTTTGCAACTGTCTTGCCATACCATTTTGTATTCCCACCAACAATGTCTGAAAGTTCCAGTTGCTTTGTGTCCTTGCTAACACTTGATATTGTCAGTCTTTTTATTTTTAGCTTTCCTAGCAGCTGCACAGTGGTAGCTCATTGTGTTTTCATTTCTTGGTTTCATTTAAAAGCCCAGCAGTATTAGTAGTGTCTTACTTGGGAGAGAATTCAAAATTTGAATCTGCCCTGGTTCAGTTTCAGACTCTACTATTTAGGTCATTTTTGCTCTTGTTGGAATTGGCCTCTTGAGAACTAGCTCTTTAATTCCCAGGACAAAACCACAGCCAGAGCATGCCAATGGGACAAAATTGCCAAGAGAACAACAGGTCTGCATCAAGTAGCTGTGATTCAGAGTAGCTGATACTTGCATTGCTCATGGTCATGGTCTCCTGATGGGTGAGAGCAGTGTAGTGATTTCTTTGAATTACTGACAAAGAGATGCCCTTCTTAGTTGTCCACAGAGGTCCTCATTCATTCATCAATAAATATTAATTGTGAACTGCCTATGTATCAAATATTGCTCTGGGTGCTGGGTATATATGAGTGAATACACAAAATCCTTGCCCTCATGGTGCTTATATAATGTTAAGGGAGACGAGAGCTATAAGAATAAAGTAGAAATAGGCTTGATTGTTAAAAGATCTGCTTATTCTACATAGCAGGGAAGGATTCTTTGAGATGACATTCCAGCATAACAGATGATGCCATGTTGAATTTCTCAGCTGAGAGAGTTTATAAGGGACTTGTGGGAGGAAGGCCATCTCCATGTGAATTTCATTGCTGGCTTAGCTGTGGAAGAGAAAGTGCATGGAGAGGACCTTGAAAGGTGGGGATCAGGATTTTGGGGGCTCCTTCTCTGCTTTGCCCTCTGCAAAATTGTCCAAAAGTCTTCTTTTCCAACTGTCTGAGAGCTACACCTCAAGGATGACACTTCTTGTTCCTAATCTTCCACTTTCAACCACCAGCTCTATTGATTCTTACAACCTCTCATATTGCTCCAGGCCCAAGGCACTGCCCAGTTCAGGTTGTCACTATGAAGATTTTGAGTAATTGCCCCAGACTCCTAATGGTCTCCCTGGCTCCAGACTTGCCCTCCTTCTCCTATACCTTCACCACAGCCAGAGAGGTCTTTCCAAAAGGCAAACATGGTCAAGCACCCAGGTGTCAGTGTAAAATCTAACTACTTATCATGGTCCACAAGGCCTTTTCATGATTGAGTACCCTTCTAGTCCCATTGCTGTTCCTTCCTGTCCCCATGTACCTTTCATCCTGGATATGGAACCATTTACTGCTCCCTAAATGTATCATGCTTCTGAGAAGGCTTCCCTAATTTCCTAAAAACCATGTTGGTGTTTCTCCTGGGTGCCTCCATAGGAGCTCGGGCGTCCATCTGTCATAGCACTTGTATGTGGACTGTACCATAATTGCTTATGGATGTATCTATTTCTCTCCTAAACTTGGACTCCTTGAGACAGGAATTGCAGCTAATTCTTTTTGTATCCCTTACATAGAACCCAGTGATGGCTGAATTGAATGGATGAATGAAGAGAAATTGAGGGAATGCATAAATTAATGAATGAAGAGAGAGATGATGAATGGATGGCACAATGGTTCAGCTTGTCTAAAGGAGAGCTTGCATTTGCATTGATGTTGAAAGCACATAGTGGAGGCAGGCCTTTACTGAGCAAGGATGTCAGGCCTTGGTGTTTAGAAACCTAGGGTACATTTCTCATCCCATGTCTGTCTCAAATAGTAGCATTGACATGCTTTGAGAAAGCATTTGTGTTCTTTGCTTTTGTTCACAATGTCTTTGCAAAAGATCTCTTGTCTTCCCTCTTTATCCTTTGGGTCTTTGAGGTGTCTTTCTTTTAGGAGCTATTAAAATCACCAAAATCAAGAGGGATTCTTGAGGGCCACTGAATGCTTGAGGTGTGAGTGGGTGGAAGGAACACAGGGAGGAGAAGCAGAGAGGCTAGGTCAAGTGCTTTCTAGGGACAGGTAGAGCCAGTGGTCTGGGGCGGGGCTGTTCATTGAACAGGATGGAGGACAACACAGTGGGCTAAGCCTATGACATGTGGGTTTGATAAAGTCTCTTAAGAAAGGTCAGACTAGACAGAATGGTGAGAAGGAAGGAGGGCAGCCCTAGATTAGGGGGCAAGCTGGGTAGGATCTTTAGCAAGTGACTTAAACTTTCTGATTCCAACCTTTTCTTTCTTCTTCTTTACCTATAACGGGGAGAGATGAATTCCTATCTCAGGGGATTGCTGATGGTTTTAAATAGGACCATTGCTGTAAAGTGCAGTCATT